ATGGGATTACCAGAAGGAAAGGGGGTGGAAGAAGGGAAGAGGATAAAGGAGGAAAAATGGTGATGGAAGGAGACTTGACTTTGGGTATTGTATTGAACACAATACAATATACAGATGATATATTCATAGAATTATATACCAGAAGCCTATATAATTTTATTAACCAATAAATTCAATATCTTTTTTTTTTTTTTAAGTATTGATCAATGGTTCTAATTTATTAGGTGGTTATAAGGCCTTTTTTTTTTTCTTTTAGAAAGAGAGAAAGAGAGAACACAGGATAATGAGAGAAAAAGACAGAAACATTGATCTATTGCCTCCTATAAAAGCGCTGACAGGGGACTGAATCTGCAACCTGTTTATGTATCCTGACCTGGAATAGAACCCATAACCCTCCAGTGCATTGGACATTGGATGATGCTCCAACCAAGTGAGCTACACAAGCCAAGGGTAGGGCTATTTCTTTATGCTGAGCATAATATATAACACTCAGAAGCAGCAGAAGATAGAAAAAAAGTGTGTAGTCCAGCCTTAGCTGGTTTGGCTCAGTGGATAGAGCATTGGCCTGGGGACTGAAGGGCCCTAGGTTTGATTCTAGTCAAGGGCACATGCCCAAGTTGCAGGCTCGATTCCCAGGAGGGGGCGTGCAGGAGGCAGCCAATCAATGACTCTTTCTTATCACTGGTGTTTCCATCTCTCTCTCCGTTTCCCTTCCTCTCTGAAATCAATAAAAATCTATTTTTTTTTCAAAAGTATGTATTCTACAGGAGTTAATAATCTGATTACTTAAATCACACTCACCAAACTTTAAAAACAAAATTCTGAAAACAAGAGGTAAGATTAAAAACAGAATGACATTTCTTTATCTCTGTATAATAATTAATCCTGATGCCCAAAGCAGTTCTTAACCTTAGGAGTTTGGTTTAAAAGGGAACTGGTGTGGATGTGACTCTTGCTCATCTATAGTGACTGGTTTAAGTACCTCTGTTATTAAGGGGCAAAATATCACTTTAGGTTTTGGCTTCTTTTTAATATTATATCCAGATAATAATAAGTTTCACTTAGAAGTGACTATAAATGCATGATCTTTCTGCTTTCCTTTAATGACCCATTATTATTAAAAATCTAATGAATTAATGTCAGTCTGACTCCAATTACCATGGCAATGTAGGAAAGTACTGTATCACTATGGATATAGGCCTCTGAAGATTAATGTCTGGGTGGGAGGCCATGGAATCACTTATAGGCATTTAATAAAAATTAAAAAAATCAAATCTCTTTGTTCTTGCTAAGGGTATGTTTCTCCAACAGTTTTCTTCATATCTATTCCCACTTGGTAAAACCCCTAACCCTACCTGCCCCACTGCACCAAAATCATTTGATCTTGAACCTTTAAGTCATCAATGAATCCTCCTGTTAGAAAGAGAAATTCATGCTACTCACTAAGCTTAGTTATAATTTTAAATTAATAATTAGTGCAAAATGTATTTTGTAAACCAAGTCTCTGGCTAAAGAACATTAATCCCCAGAACATCTTCCCTTCAAGAGAGACAGTCTGCGCTCCGTTGTTTTTCTTTCTCATCCTATCATGTATTCACTGATAGCCATACACAAATAATAAAAATCAAGAGCAGAATAAATAATATTCTTTTAACCTAGGTAGTGCTTCACATAAATTCTGAACTGCCTTGTACTATACCTTCTCAACACCAGTAACATACAATCAATGTCTTCAGATTATCTGAGATTTAATATGAACATCAATTTAAAATATGTCAAGAGTTCAAGTTATAATACCCAAGTACAATATATTGCTAATGACATCCTGCCTTATAAACACATGATCTTCTGTCTCCCAAATGGTATAGGAACCCAATCTCATTCTTTGACATAATAAAAAGACATAATAAAATTGACATAATAAAATTTTTCATCTTGGAAACAGGTGAAAAATCTAGTGCTTTAATATCACAAACTCATTCCTTCCTAATGATATGCTATCTTCATTATAGCTCAGAGTAGAAGACATATGCATAGTTGGGATTCAAAGTACATCTGAATTTCAACAGTTCAATATTTATTTTCTTTCCCATTTGCTTGATTATTAACTGATCTCCAACAAAACTCTACCAAAAAGATCTTTAATAAAGGCTCTGAAAGAACCTCATTGCAGGTATTGTTATTAATTATTATTATTACACAAGGAAAACAAACCATTTGACAGCAAGTGTTCAGTTTCACAAAATGAATCACTAGCAGAGTCTGAGAGAGAATCGAGGACTGATTCAGGACAATCCACATGATCACAAATAACAAGGGCAAACAATATTTTACAAGCCCCACTATACCCTTGCATCCATTCCCCTCTCCCCCCACCTCCGAGGCACGTAAAATCATTTTCACAGGGTCATATCAGCTATGTGGGTTAATGGACTCTCCCATGATGTAGCAAAGATTAAGTCAGACCCTTAGCATGGCTGCTAAGTTTAGTGGCTACTGTTGCTTTTTCTTTTAAGCTCTCGGCAGCTTCTAAGACTTACCTGATCTGCCTGGGGACAATCTAAAAGCAGCTGTTTTTTCAAGACCTGTCAGCCTATCTATAATATTTCCCTGGTGTGTGAGAGTGCGGAAGGTGGTACTGGAGGGGAGGAGTAAATACAGCGATAAGTCACTTAGGTTTTCCATGGTAGCACATCGGTGGGAATGAACTTTAAGCTATGAATAGAATTCCTTCCAGCCATTTCTTTTCAAAAAGGAATTTTGTGTGCCTGACAGAAAAATACAATCCCAAAACTTGTAAATAAATCAAGAAAGCATAAAAACAAGAAAAGAGAAGGTAATCAAGAGTTCAAAAAAAAAATTCATCCAGATTAAAATATTCAGGAAAACTCTGAAATATACAACTGTCACAATGAAAACATTTCAGAGCAAAATGTGCTGCAATATGCTACTATGATTAAAAGCTATGTGATCTGAGGGACCTCTAACAAAAAGAAAAACAGCTAGGCAAATAGCTTTTTACACACTTTTCTAAAAAGGATAGGTTGCAATATTGTCATAGATACACAAAGGTAGATACAATCTCTCATCTTCACCTACGATTAAAACATATCTTCATCCATAGGTATTTAATGACATTACATCATAGGTGGTTTAACACCAAGAATAAACTTATTTTATACTATTACAAGTGTTTTAATTGTGATCTCATCATAACACATACTGAGGGTGAGAACAATTAGCACATGCTGTTTAAGCAGAAAAGAGCCTCTTACAGCTCCCCTTGTACTTGGTAATTAATTAATTTTTTAAATTCACAAATATTACCAGATATGTACAAATGACAGAATTAGGAGCAGCAATGAAGTGCATCGTATGTCCCTCCTGTAGGCTGAGTCCTGGTCTTTGTTCCAATAGTCTAAAGCCACTGGAAGGAAAGCTAAGATTCCATCCACTAAAACATATTTTTACATTATTGCTGGCAAAAGTTCTCCTGTTAGGTTTAGTCATCGTGAGTATTCCTGCCTGCATTTGCTTCTTTAATACAAATCTCTCTCAACCCCAGGAACCTGCAGTACCCCACCACCGGGGGGAAAACAGGTCGGTGGTATGATAATCTGATAAGACAATGTAAAGGGTTGAATATTGAAGAATGCAAAGTTATTTTCGAAATGAGAGAGTTCTGAAGTAATTCTGCATCCGTGACAATTTTTCTTTTTTTTCTTTTTACCAGCTACGCACCTCTATCTAGACAACTAACGTTCACCTTGTTCTCAATGAACAGTATATCCTTCCCCTCAATCTTGCAATCTCCCTGAACAGTTTTCATGGCACAACTCAAACAAAAATACATTAGCCACGCCCTTTCTACCCAGAGTCAAGCCACCTTTTGCTTCCCATCCACTGGCCAAAGTCGGGGGAAAAAAATGTACATTTCACCTACAAGGGTCTGCACCCAGGTCTCTAATCCGAGTCAGACTCTTTTTTGAGCCGTGCCTTGACATATGTATAGAATTCCTATTGGAAGAAGCTTTCTCCCGAGCAAGAAGAAACCCTCAGGCTTACCTCCCACACACCTGCAACCCCGGGCGGGATGGATGCGGGAGCTGATGCTCAGAGGACTGCTCTCCGCTCCTCTCCTCCCTCTCCTCTCTGGTTCCAGCTCTCCTCTCTCCGGGAAAACTAAGTCCAGGCTGCGCCTCGGGCTGCTCCAGGCACACAAGCTCCGCCTTCCCCTCCTCTCGTTGGCGGATTCGGCAGCGCTGGCTCCTCCCCCTGCTGTTTCCGCAGCTGCCGGGCTGGCTGAGGCGGCGGGAAGATGCTGTCCGGTCCCTCCCGGGTCCCTTGCACTTTGGCAGCTATTCCGATGCGTCCCTTTCCCCGGGGACCTCTTTCCTGTCTCTCCGCAGCTTCACACCCTCCGAGGCTATTCGCCCCCCCCCCCCCCCCCCGCACCCCTGCTCTGCCCGGGCATCTCCGCGAGGAGTCCAGGCTCAAGCTTTCTCTCCCCCGCCTCGACTCGCAGGTCTGGCCGCCCGATGTGTCTCGGGGCTCGGCCGCTTTCGTGGAAGCTGCCCCTGGGGCCAGGGATCATCCCGCCCTGCATCCCGGCGACTCCCCGAATGTGTCTATGCCGCCCGTGTCCACAGTTCAGTAGTAGCTCCACGTCCCCTACTTTGAACTCTGCCCACCACCCCACTTTCCTTCCTTCCTTCCTTCCTGGGGCTCCGCTGGTCCAACCCCCACAATGGGCGAGTAGCCGCGGGGCCTCCCCGGCACCCTGATTGGCGCGCAGGTGAGAGCTGACCCCTCCCTCCCTCCCTCCCTCTTTCCGTGCACCCTCGCCGTTCAATTCACCAACTCCCGCAAAGGCAGGGAACTCTCCTGCGATTGGCCAGGAGTGTCCCCGCCCATCGTCCTAGGCTCCGCCGCACTGCCCGCCGGGAGGTGTAGTCTCTCGTGCCGCGCGCATCGCCGACGCCGCCGGCGAGCGGAACTACGAGTCCCCATAGGCCCCTGCGCGACTCCGGCTGGGCAGGATTCCGGACAACGCCTGGTTCCTCTCGCGGGTCCTTCCGGCGTCGCCGGAGTGAATCGATCCGGGAGTTGAAGAGGGCTCGGAAAGGTGGGACGTGAAGTCAGTTGCCTCAGTTGCGGGTAAGGTGCGGCCGTTCCGTCCCTGTTCCCTGTAAAAGCAAGAGTGAGAGGTTTGGGATCCCCCTGGAGGGGGTCGTGGCCGGGGCACTCGGGCTCGGTTCTGGCGAGGCGGAGCGGACGGGGCTGGGAGCGGGGCCCTATGGGCGTCAGCGAGGTTACCCTACGCGAGTGGCGTAAAGCGGTTTGTACAAGCCGCTCGCTCGCCCCGCTCGGGCCCGGGCGCCTCCAGGAAGTCTCCTGTCGGTGGGGCGGGAGGGGAAGGGCGAGGTTGGCCCGGGGTGCCCCCGGAGGAGAGAGAGGGCGGATGTCCCTGGGGTGGGGTCCTCTGCAGGTGTGGCCTGGAGAGGGGCGATGAGGCTGCTGTTTTTAGCCCCTGCTTTTAGGAGGAGGGTAAGGAGGAGGGGGGAGGAGGGGAGGGAAAGACGCGTAGGAAGGACTCTGTTCCTTGGGGTGACTCAGGTTATGCCCTTTGAGGAAAGAGAGCTGTAAAAGCAACAGTGAGATGTTGACAGGGACCTACGGATGCAGTTCTAGTTTCATGATGTGGCTGGCTCCTCCAAGGAGGTTAGTTTTTCCCTAAGCAGAAAACCTTAACCCTCTTCTTGGGTGTATAACTCCTCTTAAGAGGTGTGTTTCCCCTTTGCTGTTTCCCAAAGAGCATTGGCGTTGGGATGCTGATGAGGAAACCGAGGGGGGGAAATGATGTGCCCAAGGTCACACCCGGAGGCACAGGCCCCCTGAATGTGTCGTCCAGATTCGGACTCAGCGAGACAATTGGTTGTGTTTTCTGAAAAGGGTGAAGAAAGTTGCCAAGTAATGCATTATAGGTATTTTTTTTTTTTTTTTTAAGAAGCCATTTGTGAGGTGAAGCCCTTTTAAACTGGGGAGGAATTCTTCCATTAAAAAAAAAACAACTGACGCTTTGGGGGGAAAAATCGGTTTCAACTTACATATTTTTTCTTTTCCTAGGGTATATTAAGGGTGGAACTGTACTACTACTTTAAACAGTAGACAATGATATGGGAGAAAGTTAAAGTAATACATCCCATCCTTTAGTTAAAAGATAATTATTTTCCTTTTTTACCTTAGGACTGTTTTTTGTTTTTGTTTTTCTCATTTCATAAAACTGACCACACAATGAGATTGAAATTCTTTCATAAAACTTACTTTACACTTTTAAAAAATAATACAGCATCAAGAGAGTTTAGTGTGATCATTATTAGAAAAGAAGATACATTGCATTTCTTGGAGGTCATAACACATTTTTTGTTGATTTTTATAAAAAAAAAGTTATTTTCCCCATGTTTTCTTGGTTCTGGGATGTTTGCATAAATAATACCAGGCTCATCCGTATTTCATTTTTCTTGGCATCATCTATGATTTTTATCTCATTCTTAAAGAATGGAAGAATGGGACATTAATGTTTTATATTAAATAGAAAGTACTGTACTTGTTCTAGTCTTATCCTGTACAATTGTTATTATGACCAGTTATAGCTCATGAATATTATTGGATAGGTCTCTAATGGAATTTGGAGTGTATTCATTGACTTCAGGATTTCCTCTTGGTAAGTTTATATACAAGAATCAGGTGATAACAGGTGATCAGTCCTGGTTTACTGTTATATACATTGAAATATGCTGCATTTTGAATGTACTTTGCAATTATTAATAGTATCACCTTTCGAACGCAAAAACATTTTCTAGAATCAGTGGTATTAGGTTCCCCTATTATTGATGGTCTGGAAATTAGTCTGACATTTAAAATAGGAAAGGTATAATACTGTAGAATGAAATAAAGTAAGGAAAAACACAGCACCACGAGTAAAGCAGTATAGAAAAAAGGAAGACCAACTAAACAAATGGAGAATTATGTGGGAGTTAACTGGCTCTGTGCTGAATTGGAAGGATGTGGTAGTTTAAGTAGACCATACGCTGAACATGAGTGAGTGAGTGATAGCAAAGCAAGAATGTTATTTTATAGAAGGCAATGTAGACATTGACTTTTTGTTGGGGAAGTGTGAAATGAGTTTTTCTGCCTTTTGGCATGCAGCTATGAGGTTGTGGAATGAGCTTTTGAAGTAAAAGGCAAATTTGGAAGTAAACAATATAAGGCACTTGCTCAGCATCTGTTTCTCCGCCCCCCCCCCGCCCTCTCCCCCATTTAGTTTTACCACTAACTTCTCTTCATTTCTGAGATCCAGTTTTTATACTTCACCTATGTTGTCATGATGGAGTAATGTTTTGTATCTTTCAGTCACACACTGGAATATTTTGGATATCCACACATGGAATAATTTAAGGTTCACAGGCTTATGTGTGCTCTTGTATTTTTATAGTGATTTTGCAGGAGCCTTGTGTCAGCCTTTTGACATCATCTCTTACAGGACTTAGGATGTCTCCCATATATATTTATCTCTTTCTTTTTAAGGATACAGGGTCATAAGAATATGTGTATTGTCATTGTATTTCCAGTAATAAAAATATTGAGTACCTGTTTACAAAGAGAAAGAAGAGTTTTAGATTGGTTAAGTGCAAAGACATGTAACTGGCCACTGGTGGAACCAAGGCCTTATGCAGGTGTTCTTTCTGCAACTCAGTTTCCTTAGATGATTTATTTTGCATGAGAAAAAGACTTTAAGTGGCTTAAATATTCAGATACTGTTGCCCTCTTTTTCTGTTTTATACTGACAACTTATATTTTGTCTCCTATCTAGCTCTCTGCCTTTATCCCCAGCCTTTCTCATTTACTGTGTCTTTCAATCACTATGTACATAAACTCTTTCCTGACTTGGGGGACTTTTTACATATTCTGTCCCCACTACCTGGAGTGCTTCTCCTCCCCTTCCCAAAGCTGGCCACCTTCTAGTAATTTTCACGTCTCAGTTTAAATGTCAGGGGAACTTTTCCTGACCTCTTTGACCATTCCTTCCTAAAATTAGAATAAGTTCCCATGATGTCTTCACCACACTCTGCACTTCTCCTTTGTAGCAGCATCACAGTAGGAACTTAACTGTTTCTGTATTTATTTGATAAATGTCTGAATCCCTCACTAGGCTATACGCAGGGCCCTTTCATTTGTCATGCGCCTTAATTCTCTACTGGCATAAAGTAAATGCCCAATAATGTTTGCTGAATAAATGAATAAATGATTGAATGAGTGCATTCATGCACAATGCCTCCAGCACTCTGATAGGAACAGAAATACAGAAATGAGTGAAGCAGAAATGCTTCCCACGCTTAGATAAAAAAGAGTTATTGACAGAAGTTTAATATAAACTGTAGAAAGGTATTTCTTGAGGTCTCTAAAAGCAGGGTAGTTGCCCAGCCAGCATGGCTCAGTGGTTGCGCATGGAACTGGGAACCAGTGCCAGAGTTCCCAGTTAGGGCGCCCTGATGCTCAGGTTGTGGGCTTGGTCCCCAATGTGGGGTCTGAAGGAGGCAGAGGCTCAGTGAATCTCTATCATTGGTGTTTCTATCTCTCCTCGCTTCCTCTCTGTAATCAATAAAGATATATTTTAAAAAATAAAATCAGGATAGTTTTCTATGGGCAAATGACAAAGGAGTCATTTTCTATTACAGAAAACTCTCTGTTTGTAACAGCATTTTAAGAGGCCTTATCACTGTCCTGTATTTTGCAAGCAACATTCATTATAACAAAATAGAAGAAACCAACTTTTAATGAATTCTCTTCTTCCCTAAAGTTATCTTATTTTGTTCTCATCAAAATATTTCCTTTTTACTTTGTTATCGTATTTTGATTTTTAAAAAAATAATTTTGTTGATTTTTTACAGAGAGGAAGAGAGAGGGATAGAGAATTAGAAACATTGATGAGAGAGAATCATCGATCAGCTGCTGCTTGCACACCCCCCACTGGGAATGTGCCCGCAACCAAGGTACTTGTCCTTGACCGCAGGGGCCTTTCAGTCCGCAGGCCGACGCTCTGTCCACTGAGCCAAACCTGTTTCGGCATGCATTTTGATTTTTAACCATGGTATTTTCCTTTGACTTTTACGTTTAATATTACTTGTTTTAGACTGGTAACTTTGTAAGCAGAGTAGTGCTTGTTTCAAATGAGCTTATATTTTAGGCTTCTTGAAAAAAAATCATATTTCATTAGGTTTTTATGGTAATATTTTATTTGCTGCCAACCTAGATACTTATGAGAGTAAAAACATTATTTTATTAATATGTAAACTAAGTTTCAGGAATAAATTTGTATTAGGTTTTGGTCTTGAAAAATCCTTTAATCCTTTGCAGTACAACAGTAATGGCATAGAATAAATTCAACAGCTTGAGTTGCTGTGGTCTTATATGCTTTCCTGAGTTTACCAATTCACTCTCCAAGATATTATTAAAAAAAAAGGGGGATGTTGATATATGGCTTTAAAATTTGATAATTCTCCCAGCTTTTTTTTTTTTTTTTTTTTTTAATATATTTTATTGGTTTTTTACAGAGAAGAAGAGAGAGGGACAGAGAGCTAGAACCATCGATGAGAGAGAAACATCAACTAGCTGCCTCCTGCACAACCCCCACTGGGGATGTGCCTACAACTAATGTACATGCCCTTGACCAGAATCGAACATGGGACCTCTCAGTTTGCAGGCCAATGCTCTATCCACTGAGCCAAACCGGTTTCGGCTCTCACAGCTTTTATTAAATATAAGTTTTTGATAAATTCTAAACTCACTTTCTGAAAAGTCAGTCCTGTTATTAGAATAAAATTTTATCTTATCGTAACAAATATGTGGAAGATAAAACTGAAGTAGTACTTCTTTCATGTTGTTGGTTTCTTCGGGTCAAATGATAGATAATGTTACTAAGAATTTGAAGTTAATGCCATGATAAATTAATTTTCTCCATAATATAAACTGTAAAAGTGATTTAGAAATTAGTGTCATTGATTGTATATATATTGCATTTGAAATGTCATGGAAGGCTGCAGTTTTAGAGACTTCGGTTGTAAGAATATACACAGTATAAAAAATGAAAGCATTAC